AATGTCAGCTTCATTCCATTTTAACCTAGGTTTTAGAAACATTGTTTTAGTCATTTCTTCTGTTCTGATACATCTTTCTCTGGCTTTAGGTAATAATATCTGAAATGTCTTTGAGGTTAGTTTTTTAAATTTTATCAGTATATGTTTCTAACACATGAACTTTGCATTTGTCTTAGGGGAAGGTGTGTGTACATACCATGTCTTGATTCATTTTTATTCCCTTCCCCATCCCCTCAACACGATTAATATTATCTTTCCCATAAACATTACTAAATGCAAAATTTTACACCAAGGACACTTATAAAGGTAAGGATATTACAACATGTGCTTAAGCAATGAAAAATGAAAACTCACAGAGAGCTGAAATAAAACCTTAGAAAACAAGATCTGACAGAAACAGAGAAGCAGCATATCTCACAGAAAAACATTTACTTGTATGTCTGAGTTACTTGCTGTTCCACAACCAGAATTATTCGTCGTGTTTTACTTGACCCAGAAACTGGAGGAATTCAGGAAGATGCTCATTAAAGAAAGAATAGATAACCTGTTCAAAAGGCAGTTTAGCTAAATGAGAGAATTCACTATGATTTCTGTAACAAATCTTTTTAAAAAAGGTGAATTTGGAATGAGAAAAATTGATTCATTTCTAAATTGCTCCTAAACTTTGTGTTACAGAGTACTCATACCTAGTTTTAGATGAGACTTTTTTTAAGGTTGAAACTTGCACATTTTGGTTTAATTTGCATTCTTAAATTTAAGCAATGATGTTTGCTTCTTTTTTCTGTTTGTTTTTCATTAGTGCATATTTGTAGTCTGTAATGATTACATTCCTCTTGGGGGTTTGTATATGTACATAAAACATCTTAATTCTCTTTTCTTTTTTTAATCTTAGAGTTCGTATTTTACAGTTACTAAATGGACTCTGGTTTTTGTTTTTTTGTTTGTTTGTTTGTTTTGTTTTGTTTTGTTTTTTTCCTTCAGTATGAGGAATTTAATCCAGGGCCTTTTGACCTACATCTTAGCTCACTCATTCTAGTTCCTGTACCTTCTTACAATAGATTTTCTTACATTTGAACCTGATACCATAGCTTTAGGAAATCTTTGGCTGAAAATCAAACAATAAATTTTATTTGTCTTACCCTACCTATATTTTTTTCTGTAAAGAAGTAAATTTCGCTTTTTAATCAAGTTGCTTTTTGCTACTTAAGGTAGCATGAATAGTGATAAAATCATAATTCACACTTTTTTCTTGGCACAGAGCTAAACTGAACTCTCCCTGCCCACTTCCTCTGAGGTGGCAACAGTGTTGGGCAAAACTTTCTGCCTTTACTTGACCTAGAAACTGGGGGAATTCAGGAAGATGCTTATTAAAGAAAGGATAGGTTACCTGTTCAAAAGGCAGTTTTGCAAAACTAGGCATCTGATAAGGCTGCCTCTTTTAATGCCCTTGGATTCAAGGTCCATTATGGGTATTTCTGCCTGGTGAGTTTTGAATGAAGTGATTTGTGTCCTGCTAGCCTCGAGCATTTCTTAGCACGCAGGAGTTCCAAGCTCTAAACTGAAAACTCACAGCTGTCTAATAGGAGTGTTTCGGGCAAAGGTAATAGCTGGAGCAAAGCTGCAGAGGCCAGAGGGAGGTTATTCATTGCTTTCAGATCCAAAATTTAAAAGAAGGAAATTTTAATTAGAACATGATAAGCAAGTAGGAAGGTGGAATAAAGTGGCAATTATTACTGCATAAGCTCGGAGAGATCTTCGCGGACAGCTCCCATCTAATTTAGACCCTTTTAGCCCCAGTCCTGAGTCCCTCTATCTCATTTCTCTTTCAAATACTGTTGATGACAGTGATCTCTTTTACACATTTGAATTTATTGTACGTATACTTTGCTTGAATGTAAGTTCTCTTAATGGATCTTGGCTGTGTTGCTCATCCATGTACCTACTGTATCAAGAGAAGGTGGGTTCGCTGGTTGTATTCAATGAATATTCAATGAATATTTAATGAAAAAGTAAAAAATAAGAAAAGTAACTTTGCACCTAATTATAAAGGACTCTAAAGATTTAGGCTTTAGATTTTTTTTTTTTTTGCACTGAGAATCAAACTTATGACCTTGCACTCTGCCAAGCAGGAGCTGTTCCACTGAGCTACATCCCTGGGAGATTTCAGGCTTTAAATGAATGAGAATAAATGAAGAGCTTTAAATCAAGGGCAATATGATCTTGACTTGTTTTTGAAAATAATCACTATTTTGTCAAGGATGAATCTGACAGACTGGGAAACAGTATGTCTTAGATCAATGTTCTGGCAGTATGAAAAACACCAAGAAGGTATAATTTTTCACAGGACTGGATCTTTGATATGACAATGAGAGGACTCTGGGATTGGAGTGCAAATAGCTACAAATAGAATGAAGCCTTTTAATGAAGACATAGAGGAAGTTGTGCTTGTTTGCTGTTCATTTCGGGACATCTAGTACAGACATAGAATTCCTTTTTATTTAAATTTGAGTTGTGAGATACCCAAAGGGTACTGTCAAGTAAAAACCTTAGAGCTAATTAGTAGATGTAGATTTGAGAGTTGTGAGCATATAAGAGGAACAGCATCCACAGAGATCAGAAAGAACCCAGGATGCACCCAAAGAACTCAGGAAAGATGAGCATAAAGCAATGGAATGGGACACCCACAGAGAGAGAGAGAGAGAGAGAGAGAGAGAGAGAGAGAGAGAGAGAGAGAGAGAGAGAGATCCAGAAAAGATAGGTTACAGACACCAAGGGAAGACAATGCTCATAGGAGGTGGCTGTCTTTGCAGGACGTACATCTCCTGTCAGTGCATCTCATTAGTAATGCTTTAGGGTTTACTTCCACAGTCTTGTAATCTGAGTACTAACAAAGAGGAAAAACATCCTTAACATAGAACTCCAGCTCCATCATGCAATGTGGAACTTTTGGCCAGGGAGTCAAGAGGATGCACTAAATCGCAGTGATATTGCCCCAAAGGAAGTGGAGAGTGGTGGCTGACAAAAGTTAACAGGAATGCTGGAGTGCATTCCACGGTGAGGGTTGTATGCATGTGCTGGAATAAGAATTGGTGTCAGATTTATTTTGAAATTACTAAGGCTAGGATGCTAAGTCATACATTTGCTATATTTGGAGAGGCAGCTAAAGATGAGAAAGGCATAAAATGTTTGGTGAAGGGGTTCAGAAGACAGAATGAGGAGAGCAGGACATTAAGTTCAGTACTTGAGCTGTGCTGATAAACTCAAATGTTTCTGTGCCTGTTGTCAGTGAAATATTCACTGAATGAATCTGAAAATTATACTCTCTTTGGTACTTAATATCGTACATTTGGCTGTTAAAGAATGTGTATATGCATTGAGTCGTATTTCCAAAAATGATGTGCCCAAAGGCAATGTTTAATAATGCATAATGAAAACTGCATTATGTCTATTAAGACTGTATATTTTTAGTGATCCCTGGAAGTTTCTGGCAGAGTTATAGAATCTATAAAATTTAAATTTGTACTTTGTAAAACCAATATTTGTTTTCCTTTTGTGCTAGAGATTAAACTCAAGGCATTTTCCAAACCACATCCTCTGCCCAAAATTTACATTTAAAAAAGCATTTCACACATGGAAAATCTATTAAAATTATAATACAGAAACTTAGCAAACATTACTGTAATCATCGGATCAAAATTTTGTACCTCCTGATTGGGTACATGGAACAGGGCATTATTGGGGAGGAAATCTTACTTTAAAAAGCAAACCTTTCCTTTCTTTCTTGAAAAGAAAAAAATAAATAAATACACAAAATAGTTATACTAGTAGTTGTTATTAGTTCATGGAAAACAAAGGTTTGTGCCTATATTTGATCAATTTTTCATGCCTATTTCTTTTAAGATGAGCAACTACTTTGAACATAACACACAATGTCATTGCTGTTTTACAATCTTATATTGAAAATTTGTTTCATTGATTTTGTTTTTTCTTTAAAATAAAAAGTAAAAAAAAATTTAAATAAGTAAAAAGCAAACTTTAAGTGAGTCACTTGACAAAATAATTGGCTTTTATTCAAAAGTATCACAAAAAAGCAAGGAATGTCTGAACAAATGTTCCACAGTGCAGACTAAAGAAATATGACAATGGAATGCCAAATATGATCCTGTATTAAAACCTGGGCTAGACAGAAAAGTAATTAAAATAGCATAGGGCTGGGACAGTTGGAAAAATGGGAATAGGGTGTTAGAACTAGGTGGTAGTGTGTTATCAATGCTAAATTCCTGATTTTGTTGAGTACACGGCACCATGTCTGTAAATGATAACCAACTGAGTAGGGAAGCAGCACATGCATACTATACATCATATAATATAGTATAGTAAATAGTCAATTTTTTTGATACTGAGGATCAAACTCAGGACTGTATGCTTGCAAGGCAGGCATTTCTGCCACTGAGCTAAGTCTGCAGCCCCCCCCCCCCCAAGTCAAATATTAGCAGCTGAAGGAGTTGAAACTTTCTTTACTATTCCTATTACATACTGGTAAAATTATTTCAAAGTGGGTAGGAAATAAGCATCTAGTGCATTAATAAATGCATTAAAAAATAACTTTAAAAATCAATAAATAAGATAATAAAATTAAAAGCATTCAAAGTAAAAGATTCATAAAAGCATAAAATTAAAAAGTCATCAGTATTATACGTTTCAGTGTTACATTATACTTCAAGCATTATATTACCCTATCTTTATCTTGTGTATTACATTTGAGCTAATGACTAATTTGAAATATATATAGGTATATATATATTTATATATACAAGTTTTAAATGTAAAACTATTACATACAAATTGCAAACTCTGCTGAGAAAGCCTTAAAAATTGTTGATGTTCTTTTTTATTTTAAAACTGATACATACTTGAGACTAAAAGTCAGAAAGTATCAATTTTGTTCTCAAAGGAAGCAACAATGTAAGCCTATTTGGAACTTCTTCTTTCTTGGCCAGGTTTCGTATGTCAAAGCCATCGACATTTGGATGGCAGTCTGCCTGCTTTTTGTGTTTTCCGCACTTCTGGAGTATGCAGCTGTAAATTTTGTGTCAAGACAACACAAAGAACTTCTGCGATTTCGAAGAAAGAGAAAGAATAAGGTAAGTTACTGAGGACAGTGGGTTTGGTGGAATATCACTTTTATCTGGAACGTGATCTTCTTTGTATTTAATGGAGATGCACAGGAAAGAAATCTAAGGACTGACAACATATTTCTTATTTCTTTCCAGTTAGAACTTTAAGTATCACAGTAGCTTCAGGGAGAAAATGCTGACACCTGGCTGTATTCTAACAGGGTATATGGTAGGATGAGAGCCATATCAACCGATCTAGTATACTTCCAGGAATATTATTTTTTTTGCATCAGTGAATGAATTAGATCATCTCTTAACCCATAATGCCAGTGTTTCTAATGTTTTTACATGATACACAACAGATACAATTAACATTGTTCCTCTTTCTGAACTAATTCCCTTGTTTCCATAGAATATTCTTTATTAATATCATGATTATAAGTTCATACAACACTATGTGGTCTCTTTTATGCATATTTTCACATTCTTTGCTATTTCTTCATAAATATCATAAAATGCGCAATCAAATACTAGCCTGTCTTACTATTATCTGATAAAAGAAATTTTATTTACATCTTTAGGAAACCTGAAAAATTGTAGATGTAACTTTCTAACTGGATTTGGAGGCCCAGAATTGTTTATTTCCTTCTATTAAGCCTTGTAATGACATTTCTTTTCACCACCTCTGGGTTTTGACCACTCCCTTTCCTTTTCTGTAAGATAAGAATTTCTCTTGAACAAAAATCTCCAGTAAATTTACATCTTCTAAAGTTAATGTGCCAACTGACACTATAAACACAAACGAAATTTTAGAGCACCAAAAAAAGTCACCTTTCTACCTTATTCCTCCCTTTATTCATCTTATAATGTATCAAACATGTGGTAGGAAGTCTAGATGAAAAGTATGGCACACGTCTTGTATAAACAGGCACAGTTTGAGAATTCAGACACGTTCTATATTCATGAGTCACCACGTCTACTAGAGAAAGGAAGAGATGCTCAGTTGTGGTTCTTCTGTTTTATAGAATCAGCCTTACCAAAATTCTGTTTATTCATCTTATCACATATAAGAGTGAGATAAAGTATCTGATGCTCTTTATTCTTTAACTTTCAGAAAGGCAGAAAGATGAATTTTCTCAGTGACTAATATTTTGGGCAAATGTAGAAACACAAAAATATTAACCTCTTATTTTCTAATCACTATTTTAAAATTCAGAAGGCAAATGCAATGAATATAAAAAATTCTGAAGCACTTTTTAGTATAATAAAGTTCTGAAGCATAGAAAGTTGTCAGTTCTTCGAAAGTTCAATTCATATTTTGCATATATGAAAGTATTAATTGATACATGCGGATGTTAAAATGTTATTTGTGATTAAATTCAATTGTGTAATTTAAGTATATATGACTTGATTCTGGTTTTTCAATCCCTTCTGGTTCACTTTACCTTCCCACAGACAGAAGCTTTTGCATTGGAGAAGTTTTACCGTTTCTCAGACACGGTAAATTGACTTTCTTAACTCTACATGTAGGAATGTGATCATCAATAAAAAGCAGATAGCATATTCTGCACCTAGACAGTGTCTGGTGGGGAAAGACAACCTCTTTCATGTGTAAAACCACACAAATACCATTTCCCCTCACCTAAGAAGAAGACTCACTTTTTCCTAAGAATTTTGTTCTTATCTTCCTTCATTCATGTAGTCAAGTATTTAAATACCCCTAATGTAGCATGTATAATTAATTTAAATCTACCAAAGCCAGAGATTTGACCTGGGAAATTGTGTATCAATAGTCTAGCTTAAGAAATAAATTTTCTATGGTGAAATGTACTTAAAATGTAGTTCTCCAGATGATTCCACTATGTGGCCCAGTTAGGAATCCCTTCCATGAGCTGATCTGTGTAACAGATGATCTACCCAGTGTTATTATAAAATACTAATGTTTTATAATACATATTACTTAAATTCTCCTTTGAATTCTGTCCTTGAAAAATAATTTCACATAATCTATTTCCCCTTACTTGATTATATTGACTATAAAATTTTATTTGCGTAATCAAATGTATTATTTGCAATACATACTGATACAATAAAAATAAAGATATATATGTTACACTACAAAGTAGAGAGAGATACAGAGAGAGAATCTGTCTCTTTAGAAGACAAAATTATGCACCCAGTAAATAACAGTTAATAGTAATATAAGCTAAACAAAGAAGATATATTCTATTAGTTCTTGCTTTACAAAGAACTCTGCATGGACAATTATTTTTTTTAAAAAAGAAATAATATATTCACTATAAAGTACATAAATCTCATTTACTGTTTTAACTAAAAAGTTTAGACAAATCGTGGGATGGTTATTCTGAGTTTATGAAAAATATTTCCTTCAACCAACAATTTTATGAGTTCATCAAATTCATCATACTTTGATTATATATATTTTGCTTAGAGATAACAGAACACCCTAAAATCTTTAAACCAGCATTGCCAAAATGAGTCTAATAAAAGCTGAGATTATGCTTTTTATTTTCATAAATATTGGTTGATATGAATTTTCCTAAGTACTCCACTTTGGCAAAATAGGCAAAATAAACGAAAGTGCCTTACTATGGAAAGTTGGAGACCTCATATTAATAAGGTCTTAAATTAATATTATACAAGAGGAGACCTTATATTAATGCAAATATAATCCTCAGAAAGTCATAACTTGACTCAGCATTGTCTTAGGCATTATATAAAATGTTGATACTTTACTTTGTCCTATTAAAGCATCAGAGAATCCTTGGTCGATTGTTAAAGAATGGAAGTTTGCTGTCCTGTAGATTTCCCCACCCTACACTGTTGTCGCCTGCTGCGTGCTGATCTCCCACTGCGCCATCTCATGGATGCTATCCCAGTGCTGTGTGTGGGTGTCTGCATGATGTGAAAGTATGTTGGCTAGAAGTTACTATCCTCGTATGTCATTACTTGATCTTGGAAGCTTATCAAGTCAACAAAGTGTTTCTGAACATTTTATTTGCTGAGATGGATGAAATGGGATTGCCTTAATGCATTTCATGTAGCTTCCTCCACATTACGGCATAATAATGCAATGGTTTTCTGAAGGAAAACACATTCACGCATTTTTCTAGTAATTCTTCCACCTAATATCATTGATTAATTATTACCTGTGTGTGCAAATGAAATTGGAATTGCCCATTAGTTCTTCATTAGGAAATGATGATCAAATTTATGCCTTTTTAGGCATGATGATTATCTTTTTAATAGAGATGTATCATTGACTGTCTTTAGTTACTATAACTATTTGCTTGTCTATTTATATGCTATGTTACTCAAAACAACTTCTAAGGATAATGAATAAGCAACCTGCATATCCTGTATATCTTGTCAGCTCTATATTCTTAGAACCAACATGCACGTACACCAGGTTGGTTGAAAGGATAAAGATTTGTGGTTAAAAATAATATGCATTTATACATACAAAGTTATTCTAATGCCAAAATATCCTTTAAATATATAATATATTTCTGACATATTTTCTGATAGATACCTGAGAAAAGTTAGTTTTTCAAAAATTTAAAATCAAACAAGATTCTATTTGAATGACATATCACTGGTTGAAATTTTAATCTCATGAAACAAAAATTGTAAGATTATAATTACCTTCTGCAAACAACTATCTAGAGTTCATGTTAAACAGAGCTATTTATTAAAACCATTATATCCTTTTTGAAACATCTATTTATAGTAATGATATTCAAAGAAGTAATGTAATATATTTAAATTCAAATACATTATAGTGACTTCCATCTAAAAGTTAAATAAAAACTCAGCTTTTTTACACCTGGCATTGATAATTTAATAGCATACCACTTCGTAATTATTATTTAACACTGTAAATAACATATCATGCTAGAAATATATAGATTTTTAAAATTCTATTGATTTCTTTTTTCTTTAAAATGTTTTAATTATATTTTCATGATATTTTAGCAAAAAATTCATCTTTAAAAAATTTACATTTTGCCATTTATTATCACCAAAATATTCCTAAATCTAAGTTCAATATTCCAATCATAAACTTGGTTAATTTGTACCTAACTTAGACAGCATTTGTAATAAATGTAAAATTCTCCTGAAATTACATTTCAAGTAATTTAAAATAAACAATTGACTTGCAAGTGCGAAATATTCTTATCCTCATCTGTAATAGGATTATTTTAATACTTATACATCTAAACATTATAGAAATTAGTATACGTACATGAAACCAATATTTTAAACTAATGTATTAGAAAAATAATATTAATTTATTTAAATTTTCATCTGATCTCAGACTGTTCTAAATGATGAGCATGCTTCCCCCAAAATAAGCCACTGTTAATTTTACTAGCAACACTTAAAAATCAATAAGCTTTGCAGTCATATAAATGGAAATTAGTAGTTCAATTTCCTCTTTCTGCTACTTGCTCATTTGACAATAAAATTATACAAGCAGTTTTAAACAAAATCTTTGCAGTAATCTATTTAACATTTAATTATATATAAAAAAAAATTCCCCCACAGGTTTGTACTAAGAGACAAACATTAGCATAAACATGATCTATTTTACCCTGTTATGTCTTACAATTGGCTTAATCCATACTTCATGCTATCTCACGTGCTTAACGTTTTGGGACGACTCGGTGACAGCGTTCACCCCTTCGCTACTCATACACAGGTATGGCTTTTGTTGGCAGTGCTTCGTCTGGATGCTGTGTTAGTTCTTATCTCACATGTGTATCAACATATTATTTTGATGATAGAAATAAAGCAACTACTGAAAAACTATATCTACACTTTTGATTTTATATTTTTATATTCCTATTTATAAAACGAATTAAAATGAATCAGTGTTGGCCATAATTCTGTCAGTAAAACAAAAAGACACTTAGAAAATTACTTATTGTATGTTTTGTGTATAAATTTATAGTTCCAAATTTAAAAAGTGATAAAATGTTTTCCTATTTGAAAAACTGTACATAACTAAATGGCTTTTACATTTTTTATTGTCTACCATTAAATTACTTTGAGCACAGTGACAGTGTTTATATCTGGATAATTTCAGCCATGTCTTTAATTTTTAAATGAATCATATTATTTAATCCATTTTTAGTTAATTCTGAATTTATTAACTACCTATATTTAGATTTATGAAATGCTTCAATTTTTATGAGCTTCAAATATTGGATAACACAGTGTCTTTAAGTAAAAAAATATTGATAATTGCTTTTTCTGGCATACAGTTCATTTGAATTTAAACTGAAGGCATTTCTAGAAACTTCAAGTATCCAACAGGAATATTTGACTACTAACAGAAAAATATTCCCCTTTTTCTAAGCATAAATAAATATAGTTATATGACTAAGTTATTCAAAACTGAATTAGGTCAGAAAAATTAATTTAAAATACATTTCTTATTGTATTATTAATATAATAGCATAATATAATATATTAATATAATAACCAGCTATGAAAGCTTCATGGTTTATTGTTTAGGAGCAATCTTTCAAAGAAATACCAATAAGCCAACCACTGAAAAAAAAAATCCCGTGCTACTTCAGTGACCCAGGGATGTGTGCTGTCTTTCATTCCCTGACTACTACAGAGAGCAGACTTGGCCCTGTGACAAGCTTGGTCACTGCCTGCCAACAAAACTGAGATCCTGTTTCTGAGTGAGCAATTACGTGACTCCACACACATCATCTCATGGATATATTAAAATGTTCTTTCTATTTCATGAAACACTTAAGATGCTAAAGATCTTAAAGGATCTTAAATTTGATTAATATCCTTGATTGCATAAATTACATCTGTAAGTCGTACAGACTTGTGAAGCTAGAGAAACGAGGCAATCTTTGGATTTTTATGGTCTTTACATTTCAGTGTGACAGTGCATGAATCCAGTGCTCCCTGGGGAATAGGCCACTGAGAACACCCATTTCCCATAATACTTTAATGCTGCTTGGTTATTAGGGATTTAAAACATCTGACAGTAAAAATACTTAAGTTATTATTAGCATTTTTCTTTATATCGTTTCTATAATGATTATTATAAACAAATTATTAATTCAATAGTAACAATGAGTGTCTAGATGTATCTTCTAGCACCTTATAAAAACCTGCTAAATATTAAAGTAATATTTTCCTGAAGTAAGAAACTAAGATTCAGTAGTTAAATTGCTAAGTCAAGGGTATCCACATTTCTGACAATAAATGATGAATCCATGAAACTGCTTACCTGTAATAAATATTTGCATTTTAAATTAAAATCTTAAATTTGGTTAACATTTTATTTTATATTTATACTATGTACCTATGGTTATACAAAATAGTTTAAAACTATTTCCTATGATACATATATTGTTCTAATTCAAATACCAAACATTAATTTTAGGCTACAGATGCTCTTTGATACCTTGGTTTCTACCACTGCCAGAAAACAAATAACAGAATAT